AAACCGCAAAAGCCGTCCCAATAAATGTGACAACCAGGTTGTGCTGAACGATTCGCCGAGGCAACATTTTATCTGGGTCTGGCGCCTTTTATGGAACAACCAGGTCGTTTGTCCCTACGGGCAACATATTGGAGGACTGACAATGTCAACTTGCGGTCGAGAGAGCGAAGAAACGCAATTTTTCGCAGAGTTGGCATTCGCACGAATCGTGCCGAAGCTCTGTTTGAGTATATCCAGTCTGGAAGGCCGTAGTCAAATAGGTATTGCAAGCATGGGTTGTCAAGTTGATTCAACGAAACTGTTTGCGACTCGAAGAAGCCACGGCCATGGTGCATGTGCCGAGTCCCAGGCCTAGACTTTGCGGTGGACGTGCAGAGGTTCTTTAGTCTGAATAGCGGAAAAGATTGGTGGGATGAAAAGCCTCGAGGCAAAGCAATCCGAAATCACATCGTCATACGGCAATGGGAAATTGCCTCTTTGAAAGAGTCATTTTGATTATCCTTTTTCTATAAGGCAAATTTCTGGGAAATAAACGCCTCGACGATTGATTTCCATTGCTTGGGAAAGTATAGCGATATGATTGAGCCTTTTTGATAGATTTTGACCAGAATGATGCTTAATTGAGAGGATCTCGGCCGGTTGGAAGATGAAATACGTTTAGCATTCTTCAATTTCGACACTCTTGTTGACGCTGTTTCGGATACAATCTCTTTAGGTTTCAGGAAAAACGTGCTTAGCTGTCATCCATACTATGATGGACATCATCAGAGCAGGCTACCATTCTTACAACCATATTCAAGCTAACGAATCAAGAAAGCTCACCTGCTCATGCCTAAATGCTGTATATATAGTCTGTATCTAAGCTTTTTGATGAGCTCTAAAGGGATTTTACTAGTTCGAGTCATATGTCAACCTCGATGCCTATGTTTGTGTCTGTTTGTGTGTGTTTATGTGACTTCATATGCTCGTATATATACGAACCCAGGAATACTGGCTTAAAAAAATATATGCGAAGAAAAATTTGGTTTTGAGGAATCTCTTGTTTCATAATTGTTGAGCTTACTTCAATTTCGAGTGAAAGTGTTTGGTGAAGAAATTCGAACGTCGGCTCCACCAGAAGACGATGACGGATTCCTCTTGACCAGTTGTCGATTGGCTTTACTGGAAGATTCATGCTGA